TACTTTTGCAAACCACTGTATATGTGTGAAAAGCTCTTCTCCACAATGAACTTTAATAAGTCAAAGTTTAGATCCAAACTTACAGATGAGCATCTTCAAGCCATAYTGAGGGTCTCAGTTGCTTCCTCCCTCAAGCCAAATGTGGCTCARCTGTGTAAGAGGAAGCGCTGCCAAGTCTCTGGCAGCAAAGAGTAGGAGGAAGTAAGAGCCTCTGTTCTGAAGAACCGTTCATGTTCTCCATGATCTGCATGTTCTGAATTGTTATTCGTGAAGATTGGATTAGTTGTACTTTTTTTTGGAACACGTGGACCCCCCCCCCCCCTTTTTTTTTTTGAAAACTTGTTGTGGCCCAGGGTCACCTAGACTCTACCTCCAGCAGCCCTCAGGTAAATTGAGTTTGAGACCCCTGATCTAGAGGGATTTGCATGTTTTGATTATATCCACAAAATGATAAGTATCCTTGACATATGCCTCATGTTTTATTGAGAGAGGGTTTAAAAATAAAGTCAATAAATTCTGCTGTCCGAAATGTCTCACTTGAGCAATCCGAGACAATCGGGTGACCAGGAGGAATTTGAAACGGTACCGACCATTTGCTTGGGTCTTTATGCATTTTAGGTMATGTGTAGAACCTTCTAGGTCTAGGTTGCACCTGACCCTTTAAAGTACATTTTCTGTTWACTATTGATGAATCCCTCTTGATGAAGTTCATCAACAATCCTGTGAATGATTGGTATTGTTTCCAAATGAATAGGATTTTTCAATGTTTTATGGTATACCCCATCATTTAATTGTCTTAAGGCTTCTTTAATATACAGTATTGATCCCTTCCTTGAATAACAACAACATTCCCTTTGTCTGCAGGTTTGACAGTTATGTTTTTATTTTGTATAAACTCCTTAAGAGCCTCAATTTCCAACTGTGTAATATTTGGTCTTTCCTGATAAGGTTTAAAATGCAGCTTAAATGCAGCCCAGTCTCTTTCCATCAGTTCTAAAATTTCATATAGTATTTTGTCCAATGGAGGACTCCAACCAAAAGACTTCACAAAAGGAGGGAGGTCCTTTCGTACTTCACTTTTTGTAGTATGCTGCCAATTTAATTATCCTATGGTAATTTTGAATATTTAATTTCAWCTGAGTTCTCTGGTTGATTTGGAGTCTAAATGTTGCAATAAAAGTCAAACATCTGCTCAAAAGGGATAACTGTGTTTCCGTTATTGGAAGTTATTTTGTTAAAACCATCACATTATGCACTAGAAAGGAAAAAAAATCCTTCCTGCCCCTGCACCAGCCAGCCTACAGGGTTCAGGAGTTTAAAAACCTAGCCCAGTGCTGATRGATTTCTCTTCCTGTTTTCCTAGTCCAATGAATCAAGTCCTTTTCAGTTGCAAACTGTTCGGTTGGCAATAGTGGAATAAACGGCATGTTTTTCACGATATGTTCGTTTAATGTTCTCAATGTTTTTTGTTCATCATGCTCTCTTGGTCGCTTGGGATTGAAGATCACCAATGGGATCCAGAGTTCTGCATAGGGAAACCGTCTTTTGGCAGTTCTCAATGCTGCCTGCAGTTGTTTTATTGCGGTAKCTTTAGCCAGCTGTGCTCTGCTATTGATCCCAAAGGACAACACGACTTTTTCAACCACCAAACCCTCTTTTGTTGTAGTTTTTTCAAGTATTGCCTGGGCATGCCTGAAATTGGCCCCAGGAAAACTGTCAATCTGCAAGTTGGGGTTGGAGTCTCCTATGATCAKCCACTTCTTACTAACACTCAACCCCCATGCAACTATCTCTCTGTCTGTGTTTATACTGTATGTCTCCTGACCCTGAAGCACTGTTGTTGCTGTGGTGTCGAGGTCAGCTGTTGTGAAGAACCTGATTGGTCATTCACACTGAGATCGTTAAGATCCATACCCCCTGAACTAAGTTGTTGGTGGACTTCTGCAGACACAGAAAAGCCCATGTTGGTGTTTAAGTTCCCTCTGACCATAGAAGGGTTATGGGCCTGCTGCATATTCCCAAGTGGAGATCCCACCTCCCCCTGGGATCTGTCGATTTGTGATGCATCAACTTCTTCCACTACTTCCCAAAAAGCGTCCTGTTCCTGAATCACACTTCCATTTCTGTTTCTGTTTGTTCAACGTTGTTTTCTAGGAGTCAGTACATCTTCTGGAGGCTGTCCAGTCATCTGTTCAGTCATAGTAGCTGTTTCCGTTGCCGTGACTGTGGTCACCATCTTCGTCTGTGTCTGCTGTGGTATTTCAACACGTTGTGGTTGTGCTTGTGTAGCTCTGTTCCTGTTGTCTGTTACAGTGTGTTGGTCAGATCCATAGCTTTGTTCCACTGTGTCCTCTCTCCACGCTGCCACCATGGCTTCTGCATGGCCAACAACCTCCTGTGACAATCTGTTCAGATTTTTTCTAGCCCATCTGGTAGCCACCACAAAGGCTGTCTTCCAGTCTGGTCCCAGATCATGGGCTACATCCTCCAATATGACTTTCAGATGTTGTGTGTAATGTTGCTCAAGAGTGAGTAAAGTGGTGTGACCCCACTTCTTGGCATTTTCAGATAACTGTTTCCGTTATCTGAAAATTTTCACTTACACTATTTTGCCAAAAGTATTCGCTCACTTGCCTTGACTCACAAATAAGCTTAAGCGACATCCCATTCCTAATCCATAGGGTTCAATATGATGTTGGTCCACCTTTGCAGCTAGAACAGCTTCAACTCTTCTGAAGGCTGTTCACAAGGTTTAGGAATGTTTATGGGGCTTTTTGAYCATTCTTCCAGGAGCACATTTGTGAGGTCACATACTGATGTTGGACAGAAGGCCTGGCTCTCAGTCTCTGCTCTAATTCGTCCCAAAGGTGTACTATAAGGTTGAGGTCAGGACTCTTTGCAAGGCAGTCATGTTCATCCATACCAGACTCTGACAACGTCTTTATGGACCACGCTTTGTGCGCTGGTGCACAGTCAGGATGGGTGAGCAAAAACCTTTGGCAATATAATGTAATTTTGTATGCCAAGAGGGAGCAAAAGGTTTTGCCTGTGCCATAAGGGGAAGGATGACATGAAGCTGAGAACAAATAATGCATGCAGCTACACTATATTGCCAAATGGTCAATAATCCCCATAAACACACTCCTAAACCTTGTGGACAGCCTTCCAGAAGAGTTGACGCTGTTCTTGCTGCAAAGGGTGGACCAACATCATATTGAGCCCTATGGATTAGGAATAGGATGTACYKTAAACTCATTTGTAAGTCAAGGCAGATAAGCAAATACTTTTGGCAATACAGTATATCTGAAAAGTGCTTTATAAAGTTGAGTTAAATGTTTTTGTTGTAACTTATAATCGTGTTCTAATGTATTGATTCACTAAAGCTGAAGTTTGCTGTAAAATCTTAAATTACATTATAAATGGTTTTCACAGCACTAACAAATACTACAGGTTGAGTTAAGTTCTGTTATCACATTACTGATATTTACACAGAAACAAAGTTCAGAAAACAGGCTGATATCAGAGGTTAAAGGCCATGACAGAGGAAGAACTGATTCTGCTGAGACTGCACAACAACATAAGGAAGATGTCTGTGACAGCAACGTGACAAAGAGGAAGAAAGAGTTTCTATTGAACTGGACAGATGACTAAAAGTTAAAAAGATCTGACTCAAAAAGATCAACAAATTTTCTCCAGAGATAAGATTTAAAGCTGCAAGGACAATCCAGACATTTGGAAAACGGACTACTACAAAAACTAAAGGTAAAACCTGAAGCTTGTTTCTTTCATGACAAATGGTTCGCATGTTTTTACAGCTGTTTTTGTTGTTTTATTGTGTTATTGTGTTCTTAATACATTAAAATATTTCAAAATAATTGTGAAGGAAAACAGAGAAGCTATGGCTTTCTTAATCTCATCTTTTCCTGTTGATGTAAAAATATAGCTTTTACATTTTAAAATGTGTCCCAGTGTCTGACAGCAGATGTGTGTTCAAGGACAATCAGTGTCAGCGGGCTAAGTCATTTGATTGTTGCTAAGATATTTCAGACAAGCCCTGAATGTTGCATATGGGGTAAGTCCAGAGTCTAGCTGGCATGAGTCTGAGGAGGGGAAGTGTTGGAGGACAAGCTGTACTAAAATCCAATGTAAAACTCAGCTTTAGTTTGTCAGTGACATCTCAGTACATCAACTTGTTTAGAGTGAAGGCTTTATCAGAAATTGAATTGTAACAGAGAAAAGAAATCACAAAGAGATAAGAAAAGTCAAAACCTCAGTGTTGTCTCAGTGTCCAGATTAAGACCTGACAGCAAAAAGCAAAGGCAAACACTAGTTCTCCTCAAGTTCATGTTTGTCCTTCACCAAATTATTTTGTGAACCATTGGACACATTTTAATGAGACTTTCAACAAAAGTTTGACAAGTCTTCAGCTAAATGTGCTGCAGTAGCAGCTGAGAGCCAGATAATCCAAGCCCTGCCATAACTTGCAAATTCTAACAGGATCAAATGAGACTGAACGAACTGTCATCTACAAAGTTTTGTTAGCAAAATACTTTTTTCCAATTCTTATTCCAAAAGGATCTTGGTCTGAAACTCTGGCATGATGGTGGGTTAAAGACTTTCCTTCAAGAAGATGTTTCTGTTTTTCATTTTTATTGATTTCTTCTGTTTCATTGGTCAAATAATCTAATCTCTGCTTTCACCTGTGTCATTCATCCAGCTCAACCTCGGGTYCGTCTGATACTCCAAACTTKTTTTTTKTTTGTTTGTTTGTTTTTTTCAGTTCATTATTGACCCAGTTGTTCATCTGGCTGAGGTTTCAGAGGAAAATGGCCGTCACACCACCRAAAGACAAGTATGCTAAAGAACACAAGTTAGACATTTTTACATGTCTATTTAAGCTATCCTTCAAATATCAGTAACAAYCAATACCTAATAATTATAAAATCTGAGGTACAAATATGGACATCATTTGTAACTGATTGATTGATGTCAAGTCACCATCTACAGCTAAAATACTAAATTAGTGAAAAGTGGTAATCAAGACTTTTTTCTTTGCTTTCTGCAGGTATTTTGCTGTCTGGATGATCTTATTCATGCTTGGTCTGGGAACTCTGCTGCCCTGGAACTTTTTCATGACTGCTACCAAAGTACGGCATCATGTCCTGTTTCACTCTACATCATCATTTTTTAACTGCAGTACATTAAGTGTTTAAAAACAGTGACTGATGGTTTTATTACATGTTTACAGTACTTTAGAGGTCGTCTGAAAGATTCCTCTAACACTTCAACAAATCAGATGGARGCAGCAAATCAAGATCACAGCATCCTGGATGCTAAATTTAACAGTGTGATGACACTCTGTGCTATGTTGCCCTTGCTTCTCTGTGCCTGCCTCAGCTCCTTCCTGCATTCTTTGTGAGTACTACAAGTGAAACCACAGACCTGACACAGGCAGTATCTGCTCATGCAGGTGGTCAGTTCAGTCTGAATTACCATGGTGACATAGCCACTAGACAAAACGTAGGTTTTCTGTCTTCATGTTGATTTTTCAGCATCCCTCAGAGGCTCCGTGTGATGGGGAGTCTGCTCGTCATCATGTTTGTCTTCATTGTCACGGCTGTTCTTGTCAAAGTTCCTCTTGAGCCGCTGCCATTTTTTTCTATAACCATGGTGAAGATCATCATCATCAACTGTGAGTGTTTGTCCGCTGAGGTTTAAATCAAGGGCCAGCTCTTCTGCTGCTGTGAATTCTGGGGATGGTGCACTGATTAGTCTCTATCATCTCTAGATGATTTGTACATGTTAGCTTTGAGACCTAGCAGAGTGCAGTGTGGATGGGTAAATGAGGACACAGACTGTAGARTATCCTGGTTGGATGGAAAGGAGCCATATAAGTACAGTTCATTTACCTTTTTCTTGACCTGTTGCCATGTCCTCTTTGGTCCCAGTTATGTTCGATCTGTAGAAATATTGATAAGATCCATCCATCCATTATCTATACCAGTTTCTTCCTTTCAGGGTCACTGGTGCCCATATCCAGCAGTCACAGTGTGAGGGGCGGGGTACACCCTGGACAGGTCTCCAGTCCATCACAGGGACACAGAGACAAATGAGACAAACAACCATTCACTCTCTCACTCACACCTAGGGACAATTTAGAGTTATCATTTAACCCAACAGTCATGTTTTTGGTCTGTGGGAGGAAGCCGGATTTTGATWAGATATAGAACAAAAAAAGATTAAGACAGTGACAGTGAGATACACATCTCAGCATCATCACTAGGAGGACACAGAGGAAGACTGTCACAGCCTGTCTGACTGGCTTCAGAATCTACCAAACATCTTTGTAATCCTTTTTACCAACTTCAAAGATGTTCTTTTATTAATCTAAAATGGCTTGGGCTTCATTTCCAATGTCAGTTGCAGATTATATCACTGCTTGATAAGACTTTGGGCAGTAAAAAGTGAAGAGGCCTCTGGGCCTATAGGCCTTGAAGAACTACATTAAACATCTTGCACTCCTATCATCGATTACCCACCACTGGTTCATTGTGGTAAGAGTATCATGCMTCCCAAAAAAGCTGCATCTTGTGAGGATGAGCAAAATGGAGGAGATGACAACAGGACACAAGGGAACTGAAACCAAAATAAAATCTTTGGAAAGTGGCATAACAAAGTCATTGATGAAGGCATTGCAAAGTTGGATTATATTTTAAACCAGCACAGAAAGAAAAAATAGCTATTGATGCCAGATGCAAAGGGAGAAAAACCGAATGATTTGGAGCTAAATATTTGGCACAAATGGCTCAACTTGGATTGACCTGATATTCACTAATATTTCAGAGCTTTGTTCACAGTTTTTAAAAAGGAAATTCTTCAGTCTAATCTTAAAAGTAGACAGAGTGTCAGCCTCACGGAGCTGCTTCCACAAGAGAGGAGCTTGGTAACTGAAAGCTTTGCCTCCCATTCTACTTTTAGAAACAGGAGGAACCACAAGTAAACCTGTAGTCTGAGAGCCAAGGAACTTTTCCATTTCATCCTCCACTATGCGTTCAAATAAAACAAGGACATTTTTATCATAAATAATTTGACTTTTAATCATTTGACAAGACAAATGACCCCTCACAATAGTGCTTGGCAACTCCCCGGTGACTACTTTACTTCGAAACCACTTTAAAACAACCGCAGCTGTGACATGAAAAATCAAAACATGAAAAACACAAAACAAAGATTAAAAAAATCAAAAGCATTAAAATCAACAAAACAATAAAATAGRAATTAAACTAAAAACAAGTCTCAGGCTGTGCCAAAAGAAATGTTTTTAGAAGAGTTTTCAAAGTGGACAGTGAATGTTAGGGTTCATCTTCTTTATGTTTATTGTTTTTATCTTGACTTTATTTTTTTCCCTAATAACACCTTGTAGCTCAAGACAATAAATCTGAATGGATTTCAATTGAATGTGACCTGCTGTTGGACAGGTTGTGAGTACAACACTTACTGTGGTGACCTCAGTCTGAAGGAAAGATGTTTTAGAGTACTGTCTTTTTAATGTTCTGTTTGCATTTGTTAATTTGACTTGTGTTTTACAGCTTTTGGAGCAATGCTGCAGGGTAGTCTCTTTGGAATGGCTGGCTGGCTGCCGGCTTCATACACGACTCCCATCATGAGCGGCCAGGGACTCGCTGGAACCTTTGCTGCCTTCGCCATGATCTGCGCCATTGCAAGTCTGATCAACACCCTGACTATACTTCATCAATAATCAATCAATAACTCGTTTTTCATTCACAAGTACCTCTACCTTTTTAGAAATCATAACTTGTTCTGTCTGTATTGTTCAAATTAAAGTGTTTGAAATAGAAATGCACTAAGGATTATTTTGTGATATTTAGCCTGAACAGCTGTGATCAGTGATCGGACAGTTTTCAAGAATCCCACATTAGATAATGGATGGATAGATRTTAAATGCAATAAATTAAGCCATACAATACCACAGCTGTACCAAAATACAGATCATTTATTCAGTCATAGCTTTTTCATGATCCCAGCTCAATATAAACACATCTCTTCTGGCTCTGACCACTCCTCAGGGGCAAGTTGTCACATCGACTGGACGGCCTCCCTATCACGTGACCATATCCTTAAACAACAGCCTGAATTCCAGTGGTGGGCAGCACAAATCTAAAAATCAGTTCCACTAGCCCTAAAACACTAACTCACATATTTAAGTCCCCTAACTCTAAAGCACTAAAATAGCCCAGTCAACCCATGAACATTCTTCAACAGACAACATGTTGTAGTACCATGTCTTATCAGTAGCTGCGTTTCCATTGACCATGAAAATGCACAAATTAGCATTTCGAAAATAAACTTGCTTAATGGAAACACAAGAATTTTGAAAAACGTGCGTTTTTTTGACAAAATGATTTTGCGCTACCTGGTTTTTCGGCCAAAACCATAACCTCAGTCTTAGTTCCGTTAAAACTCAAAATCTTTAGTGCCATCAAGGCCTTCAGGTCCTCGAGACACATAAGAAGTGAGTCTATCTTCATAACAATGAAATGAAATACCATGTCTTCTGAGAATAGCTTAAGTGTTGTAAGTGATTAAAGGTGTGTATTAACCAGTCAGATCAAGTATTCTGTTTAAGTTGACTGACATGTCATTCAATATAGAAAACACACAAATCTAATCAGTGCATCTCTAGTTTGAAACATTTTAAGATGATTTAAAACAGAGTATTTATTAACCTCTTTCTTCCCATCTATTTTTCATTTTTCCCTACATTTCTTCCTCCCTTCTCATTACTTCTTTCTCTCTTAAATCACTTTATTTTTCTTTCTTTCTACTGTTCTTGTTTCTTCCTTGCTGCTGTTTATCTACATTCTTTTCATATTTATTTTTCTTTGCTGTAGGTGGTTCTGAGCTTGAGGATGCAGCATTTGGTTATTTCATCACAGCTTGTGTCGTCGTTCTTCTTTCCATTACGTCCTACATCCTGCTGCCTAAACTGGTAAACTTTAACACTCAACTAAGGTTGTTTAAGCAACAACTARATACCTTTTTATTACAGTTTGACCCTTTAACCCTAACTCCCCTTACTCCTAACTTGACTATTTGCAACAAAAAGTGAAAACATTACCACAAAAATAGGTCCAACTAACAATGAACAAATTGAGAATAGCCTTATAAAGACATGAATGGTGACATAGTCACATCATTAAGGATTCTTCTGAGGTCATTAAGAATATATTGATTGTTTTTCTTACATTTTGGGGACAATTCCCCCCCCAAAAAAAACAGCCTTGTGGTCCAAATGCAAATTACAGGTGGTAGTGGTGGTAGTGGTGGTGGTGGTGGTGGT